TTGTCCAGTTTTTCTTTCCCGTGTGGCCAAATCACAAAAGTGTCATCAATGTATCTAAGCCAGAGTTTGGGTTTGTGTTCAGATTTATCTAAGGCATTAGTTTCAAAATATCCCATGTATAAGTTTGTGATGACGGGTGAGGGGGTGATCCCATGGGTGCTCCTTCTATCTGTTTGTATCTTTGTCTATTATGGATGAAGTATATGTTGGTTAGGCAGTGGTTGGTGAAGTCCAGGATGTGTTTAGGGGAGTTGTGTTTGTTGGATAGCTGTCAAGGCTGCTTTTATAGGCACTTGGGTAAAGAGGGAGATGGCATCGAAACTCACGAGTAGGTCGCTGGGTTGTAGGTTTTGTTTCTTTATTGTTTCTATGAAGTGGAGTGAGTTTTGTACGTCTCACTCGCCATCTTCTTTAAGCCGAAAACACCAGCCTGAAGACAGCGAGTGAGACCTCGGCGAAACGTTGCCAAGACAATTTCAATCTTACATGGGAAAAGACCCAAATACAACAAGACCAACATACCTACACCCATGAAAATCTACGAAAACATACATACATACATGCATACATGTCAGAAAGTGTTCAGAACTCCTTCATTTTTGTCAATTTTGCTATGCTGCAGCCTGATTCTACAGTTATTATAATTCATTTTTTCTCACTAATCTACACTCAATACCCCATAATGGCAAAGTAAAAACAGAATATTAGAAATATCTTTAATTTATTAAAAAGAAAAAGACCGTTGGCTTACCTGAATGGTCGTTCTCTAGGTGCTGCGGAGTGTTCAAGCACAGGTTAACTTCAGCTTGCTGCCCAAGGAACTGAGTTTTAAAACTGATTGTAGCTCTGCCTCTTGGTTGCCTCAGAGGCCCAGTTTCAAAAAACGAAGAAGATCAATAGTCCATAACTCGAACCAGTCAAAGTCCAAGTCCAAGACATGAAGGTGTTAAGAACACACCTCGCGGCCACACCTTAAGGGTGGGTTTGGACACTCCACAGCGCCTAGAGAATGACCATTCAGGTAAGCCAACGATCTTTCTCCTAGGCGCTGCTTGGAGTGTCCAAGCACGGGACATGCCAAAGCTATGTCGAAGTCGGGAGGGAAGAAGAAGAACCGTCTGGAGCCACGGTGCTTGCCACGACCCTCTGCAAAACTCTTCTCCCAAATGATGCCTCAGCGGAGGCGAACGTGTCAAGTCTGTAGTTACGAATGAATGGAGATGGACCAGACCACGTAGCAGCACGGCAAATTTCTTCAATTGGCGCTTGAGTAGCCCAGGTGGCCAAAGTCGCTGCGCTCCTCGTAGAATGTGCGGTAATACGCAGAGGAACCGGTCTGGCCTGAGTCTCGTAAGCCATCTTGATGCTTGCTCTGAGCCAGCGTCCGATGGTGGAGGACGTGACCTTCTTTCCCATGGAAGCAGGTTGGAATGAAACAAATAAAGCTTCCAACTTATGGAAAGGAGCGGTCCGCTTCATGTAAATGCGCACCGCCCGCTGCATGTCCAACTTGTGCCAGGTTACTTCTCTCTGGTGCCTGGGACGAGGACAGAAGTCCGGAAGTATCACCTCCTGCGCCCTGTGGAAGACGGTGTTAATCTTCGGGACGAAGGCAGGATCCAATCGTAAGATGACTCTATCGGAGTGGAAGATGCAGAGGTCGCCTTTAACTGACAAGGCAGCCAACTCCAATATCCTGCGGGCTGAGGTGATGGCGACCAGAAAGGTCATCTTAAGGGTCAGGTGGTGTAAGCCCACCGTCCGAAATGGTTCAAATGGTGGCGTGGCAAGCGCCTGCAGTACAACAGTCATGTCCCAGGTAGGGTACCTATGGATGGGGGGCGGACAGATGTTGGATGCCCCTTTTAGGAAGCCCTTTATCTGGGGATGTCTGGAAAGTGGTAGCTGAGAATCAGAGGACAGAATGGTGCCCAGGGCAGCCACCTGTCTACGGAGAGTGTTAGGCGCAAGGCCCTTGTCCAAACCGTCCTGCAGAAATTCGAGGACCTGCGGGATGGTCGCGGATGAGGCCACTATCTGACGGTTGCGGCACCAACGGGAGAAGGCCGACCAGGTTGCCTCATAAATTCTGACGGTGGAAGGTAGTCTAGATGACTCTGTCAGAAAAACAGTGGAGCCTCAGGAGGTCCTCCTTAAGTGCCAGAAGGCCAGCTGCAGCCAATGGCTCCGGATTTTGGACAGCCCCCTGGCTGAGGCAGATTTGCTCCTGAGGTATGCGCCATGGCCAGGATACCAACAAGCTGACCAGGGTCAGCTGGGCAGTGGAACCTGGTGAAAAACCAGGGGAGGTGTGTGTTGGCTGGCGAGGCGAACAGGTCGACCACCGGGTGGCCGAACCTCCTGGACAGCTGGCAGAGCAGTCTCGGGTGCAGGCGCCATTCTGAGTTCTGGATGGTGGTTCTGCTGAGC